CAGAGCACTGTGCCTGGCTAAAACTTGGAAAGGAGATGGGGGTAAACACACCATAGCCTTCACTCAGCCAGACCCGATCCCCAGCCACCTTTATCTGACTCAGCAGCTGGGGCACACCAACAGAGCTGCGAACATGTACGTATCATGTGTGGTGTGACCTCATGATGGCTACATCCCTGGCCATGAAACACTCTAATTATCTTACAGAGTCTTACTCTGTGTGGCCTGTGGTTGACCAAGACATCTTGTGACTAGTTCGGGACAGTGGCGTGTGCAAATGCCAAAGAAAGCATGAGCTGGCCATGGCTGTCCATGGCTGTTGGACTTTCGTGAACCTGACTTTGCGTCTGTTCTGCCCCGGCACTGCCAGGCTGCCCTGTGAATTCTATTTTCTCTTCTGCTAGCAGAGGGCTGTTGCAGGCTCTGCAGCGGAGCCCTCAGCCAGCAGGGAGCTCTCTCTTGTCGGCATTTCTATCTGAGCTCCTGCATGTGGAAAATAAATGCATGAACTTGATGCCTGTGCTAAGTTTTATCCTTATAGTTGCTTTATCCAATGGAAAATGGAACGCTGAGAATATTGATATGGTAATTTGGTGGGTCATTGGGCCAGCTAAAGTCACCTCGTTCAGGCCAGGCGTGGAAGTACTTGCCTATAGTCCTAGCCCTCAGAAGGTGGAGCCGTGTATCAAGGTCATCCCCAGCTGCTTGAGGCCAGCCTGGGCTGCAGGAGACCCTGTCTCAAACCCAAGACAAAACAAAGCCCAGCGATTTTGTTTGGGAAGCTCAGAGGGTTACTTGTAAGAGCGGTAACAGCCATACTCTGTCTATGACAAATTGCTTGTGTAGTCACTGTTCTATTGCTGCGAGAAGACTCTGTGGCTAAGGTGACTTAGAAGAGGAAAACATTTAATTGGGGCTTGTCACAGTTTCAGAGGGTGAGCCCTTGACCGTCCTCGTGAGAAGAGGACCAGCGTGGTGCTGGAGCAGTAGCTGAGAGCTCACAGCCTGATTGGCAGGCGGCAGGGAGGAGCCTGGCCGGTATTGGCTTTTGAACCCTCACAGTCCACCCTCAGTAACACAACTCCTCCAGCAAGGCCACACCTTCTGATCCTTTCCAAGGAGCCTTTGGGGCCATTCTCATTCAAACACCACAGCTTGCCGGGGCGGTGGTGTGGTGGCATAGGCCTTTAATCCTAGAAGTCGGGAGGCAGAGACAGGTCTCTGTGGGTTCGAGGCCAGCCTGGTCTACAGAATGAGCTCCAGGACAAGCATCAAAGTCACAGAGAAACCCTGTCTTGAAAAATCAAAACAAAGAAACACCACAGCGCTGGAAACAACCTGAAAGCCCTGAGTGTGGACTTCCACGCTGAGATGAGAGCAGGTAAACTACACCCACATGCCATGGAAACGGGACTGAAAAAGGCACAGCATAGAACACATAGAAACCATTTAGGAAGCTCAGAGACCAAGTCAGGTCACAAAAGAAGAGGCCTGTGGGGAGGGGGTGGGGCCTTGTCTCTTAAAGGGGCAGGACAGACCATCACACTAGCTAGCTTCGAGGGACATTCTGGGTGTTTTATGCTTTATAACTCTCATGAATACTGCTCATATTAATTTGCATGTGTATTCTGTGTAAATATGAAATGCTAAGGGTATGTCATTGAAGAGTACGCATGAATGTTTGCTAGAACCAAGGCCCTTGGAGACTCTGGGAAGTTTTCCCTCACACTGTCAGAGGGCTTGGGCTCCTGCGGCTCTGGGTGTCACCACTCAGGTAACGCTGTGGGCACTGTGTGAACCCTGCCTCAGAAGCTGCATTTCCCACAGGTGGAGGCCCTCTGGTGCCCAGGCATGCCCGCCTCCCAACCTGGTGTTGGAACCTTGAATGCTGGTTGGCACAGGGAAGGCTTCCTTACTCACTGTGGGCCAGAGAGGTCTAGGGAACCTCCTCAAACTCACCTGGCTCCAAGGTGACAAGCTGCTATTTTTAAAACTTTAAAATTTAAAAATTTAAAAATTTTATCTTAGTGAGACAAGGTCTGAGACTTTGAAACCCTGGCTGTTCTAGAGCTCACAGAGACCCACTTTGCCTCTATTAAAGGTTAACCTGCGTGGTGTGGGCCATGCCTTTGATTCCAGCACTCTGAAGGGAGAAGGCAGGCGGATCTCTGAGTTCCAGGACAGCAGGGACACAAAGAGAAACACTGTCTTAAAAAAAAAAATTGAAGAAGAAGGTAGAGGAATAGGAGAAAGAGAAGGAGGAAGGAGGAGGAAGGAAGAGAAAGGAGGAGGATGGAGGTGGATGGAGGAGGATGGAGAAGGAAGAAGATTAACGGTGTCCTCCTATTTCTTTAAAATAATTTATTTTTCTTCATGCATACATGTCTATAAGAATGCCGTGTGTGTGTGTGTGTGGGGGTTCATTTGAAACAGGCTCAAGCTATAGGCAGTTGTGAGCTGCCCTATGTGGGTGCTAGGAGAACTTGGGTCCTCAGAAGAGCAGCCAGTACTCTTGACCGCTGAGTCGTCTCTCCAGTCAAAGTCTAAGACTCAAGAGGTAAAGAGAGAAAAGCAAAGTGACCACCAACCAACTTCCAGGTGGTAAAGTTGAAAGGAGGCATGAACGACATCCGTGTAGCCAGGCAGAAACCCTGATTCTCTGATGCAGGGTACTTGAACATGGCCACTGGCTGCTGGGGACAGTCAGGTGGCCCTGGCTTGACAGTTGTAGTCTTCTTGTATGAGAAAGAACAGGCCAAGCACCAGAGAAAACCTCTTTCCAAGGAAGAAATCTTTGGAGGTCAAAGAGAGACTCTTGTGTTTATCCTCAGTGTCTGGAATACACAGAGGGACATGAGGTCAGGCACTCTGGCAGTGGGTGGCTTTTTTGAATCCTCGGCTGTTGGGAGCTGTAGATCCCTGGCCCCTTGACTTTCTCTCAGCAGGAAACCCTTATGGCAGGCTGGTGGGCCTGCAGCTGAAAAATCCCTGTATCTGCTGCCCCTGAGCGTTCTTGTGTCAAAGATGACCTGTGTCCCTGTCTGTGTGTGTCTGTGTGCGTGTGTGTGTGTGTGTGTGTGTGTGTGTGTGTGTGGTTTTAAGTCTCCAGCTTACTTCCTGGCAGTCCTGTAGTGGCGCGGGAGCTACAGGACCGTCTTTGTTTGGCGGTTTACACTTGGCCAGATGTGTTGCTGCTGCTTGGTGACATGACGTTAGATATTTGGTTTGAAGAGTCACACATGCCTGACCTGAAAAGGCCACGTTTCCTAGACTCCGTCTCCTCAGCCAGTGCCAATAATTTAACCAGGCACTTGGTCTCATTTTTATGTTAGATTCTCTGAGTTCTTAATCTGAACTAAGGACTAGTGGGCTGAGACTCCCTGGGCTAGCCTTTGGTGCTCTCCCTGCCTCAGGCTCCTAATTGTGGGGTTACAGACATGAGTCACGGTGCCTGCCTGACTCAGTGTTTCTTGAATCTTTAATCTCCTTTTTCCTCGTGTGTAGCCCCCCCCCCCTTTTTTTTAGGGAATGAAAAATGTGTTGTTAGTTTTTACTTCCCAACTTGGTTCCTAGAATAAAAACAACTGTGCCCAGATGTTTATAAGATAAGTGGCTGTTTAGATTCCTGGTTGGAGCAGAGAGAGTCCGAAGCCTGTCCAAAGCCTTGGCCCTTTTCTCCTCACCAATACTAATTCTCTGTGTTGGTTTCCACCTATAAACTGGGCCCATGTGCACCCTGCGACACTGAGACTTCTTTTGCGTTTGTGCATGCTGGGTTCCTGCTTGGTATTCTTCCCTAGGTGAATTCATTTGTGCATTTTGTCAGTTTGCAAGAGGGTGACCACCGTGTGCCAGGCACTATTCTAGACACTCAGATAAAATAAGGTGCTTGTTTTTGTGGTACTTGGAGTCTTTTTTCTTTTTTTTAAGTTAGGGAGTAGTTTTTTCTTTATTGTATGTGTTTTGTTTTATTTTTTTTTGAGACAGGATTTCTCTGTGTAGTCCTGGCTGCCCTGGAACTTACTCTGTAGACCAGGCTGGCCGCTGGCCTTGAACTCAGAGATGTACCTGCCTCTATCTCTTGAGTGCAGGGATTAAAGGCATATACCACCACCGCTCAACTTATTTTTAATGTTTATTTAATAATAAAACATGAATACTAATATTATTGTGTGTATGGGGTGCGTGTGTGCCAGCCATAGCGCACATGGGCCCAGAGGACGACTTTGGGACTTGGTTATCTTTGTCCACCTCGGGTCATTGGGCTTGCATGACAAGCGTCTGTACCTGCTGAGCCATCTTGCTGGCTCTGTGGTAAAGTCTTGAGGTAAGGACAGATTTGCGTTTGTTGTGTGACCTGTGTGATGGGTGACAGAGTGGGGAAGCCAATACAAATACGGGCTTAGGTCCAGCTAGGACTAGGGAAGAGCGCTGAGGGAAGGGTATGAGGCTGAGACCTGACATACACAGGATAGTCTGCTGTGGAGATGGCGTGGGACAAGGAAGGGGAGTATTAGGACCCAGGCAGAGCACAGCAGAGAGAGCGACACTCTGGACCTTCCCAGTTGGTAGCGAGAGGAGGCTCAGAGGCCAGGAATAGGTGGAAGGCGCCCTAGGCCCTTCGGAGCATCTGGATCTTCCTTCTGTGGCCAGGGTCATGCTCTTGTTTGTTGGTTTCCTCTTTCAAGAGTAGCTCTGACTGACTCAGAACTTGCTATGTAGACCAATTTGAGACCTCAGCCTCGATCTCACAGAGATCCACCTGCCTCTGTCCTCAAAGTGCTGGGATTAAAGGTGTGCGCCACAGCTGTCTCCATGAAGGGTTTTTAATCAAGGGAGCAGGGTTGCTTGGTGGGTCATGGCTTAAGAAGGTACACTCTAGCAGACAACTGGGTGGTCTGGGAAGCCAGGCAGATGTGATATAGGCTGACATCTCCAAATCACTAGCAATGTCCCATTTTCAGGTTGCTGTGGCTCATTCTGTGTATTTTCTTCTCCAGAGGTGGCAAACGATATGGTGATTAGCCTGCCCGGGGCCACCGTCACCCTGATCTGCCCTGGGAAGGAAGCAGAAGGCAACGCCACGATTCAGTGGGTGTACTCTGGCTCACAGCACAGACGGTGGACTACCACGGGGAACTCACTGCTTCTGAGGGCAGTGCAGCTCAACGACACAGGCAACTTTTCATGCTTCCTGGATGATCACCTGGTTGGGACTGTGTCCTTGCTGGTAGATGGTGAGTTTTGCCCTCAGTGACCTTGGAGTTGGCTCCAGGGCAGCTCCGACGTCCTTGAACACGCCCCTGCATCCCAGAGAGGCCCCCGGCTGTCCTTTAGTTTAGTTGCTCTGGGAAAGAGGCCACTGCTCTGCCTGTGATTTGAGGACGTGGCTGGTGGTGGACGCTGGCTGGCAGATTTATTAGTGCTGGACTCGCAGCCAGGCATCGGGGCTCACCTCCTGCTGCATCCCTCAGATGCCTCTGGCAAAATAAAGTGAACGTCATCTTGTTTGTGTAGAGTGTTGACAAGATTAAGAGTGTGAGGGTGAAAATTCTGCCCAGCCACACATGAAAGCCTCAGATGGCACACCCCGAGGGTTATCAGGTTAGGGACTCCCTGGCCTCCAGTGAAGACTGTAGGGCCCATGCTCTCTGTGCAGGCCCCTACCCTCAGCCACGTCCTTCCTTGCATCTCATATAATCCTTCCAGTGTCTCTGTTCATGTTATGTCAAAATCAGATAACTTCAGGTGAGGAAACTGAAGGGACTGACTGAGTCTATGTGAGGCCAAAGGTAAAGGTTCTGTGTCATCTTCTCGACCCTCTGGAGCAGTGCTCCCAACCTTCCTAATGCCAAGACCCTTTAACACAGAGCAGTGCTCCCAACCTTCCTAATGCCAAGACCCTTTAACACAGAACAGTGCTCCCAACCTTCCTAATGCCAAGACCCTTTAACACAGAGCAGTGCTCCCAACCTTCCTAATGCCAAGACCCTTTAACGCAGAGCAGTGCTCCCAACCTTCCTAATGCCAAGACCCTTTAACGCAGAGCAGTGCTCCCAACCTTCCTAATGCCAAGACCCTTTAACACAGAGCAGTGCTCCCAACCTTCCTAATGCCAAGACCCTTTAACAGAGCGTGCTCCCAACCTTCCTAGTGCCGAGACCCTTTAACACAGAGCAGTGCTCCCAACCTTCCTTTAACACAGAGCAGTGCTCCCAACCTTCCTTTAACACAGAGCAATGCTCCCAACCTTCCTTTAACACAGAGCAGTGCTCCTAATCTTCCTAGTGCCGAGACCCTTTAACACAGCTCCTCATGCTGCGCGAACCCCCAACCATAACGTTGTTCCATTGCTACTTCATAACTGTAGCTTTGTTACTGTTATGAATCGTAATGTAAGTATTTTTGGAGATGGAGGATTGGCAGAGGGGTCGTGACCCACAGTTTGAGAACTACTGCTTTAGCAGAAGCCCCAAAGGGGACGGTGCCTTTCTTCCCTCGCTGGGCATCTGCTGGCCAGTGTGTCCCTATCTGTGGCTCCATGATGAACGAGGTGTCCCTCAGGCAGGAGGAGTGATGTGCGTATCAGATGTGCCCAGGAAGCCTCGCACCCCCTTCATCCTGCTGAACTCTCTTTCAGTTCCTCCAGAGGAGCCTAAACTCTCCTGCGCCCGGAAGAACCCCCTTGTAAGTGCTACTTGTGAGTGGTTCCCAAGCAGCACCCCCTCTCCTACGACCAAGGCTGTGCTGTTTGTGAAAAAAATGTAAGTGATGGGTGGCGCTGAGTGTTCACAGGGCCCAGAGCTGGGGGCACAGGTCGGGGGGCCACAAGGAACCGACGGATTGACTGGACAGGGACCATTTTTTCTTTTTAGGTTTATTATACTTTGTGCATATGAATGTTTTGCCTCCATGCATGTATGTGTACGACATGCATGCCTATCAGATCCCGTGTGTTGGGTCCGGCCGGCGGGGGCGGGGGGCGCAAAGATGAGAACACCACCAAGTCTAATAAGCCAGAAGCAAACTTTATTTCAGAAACCAGATCCTAGGAAAACCAGAAACAAACTTAAAAATGAAAAATAAAAACAAAAAAACACCACAGGACACAGAAGCTTATCAGCTAGCTGAGACCACAGCCAGAGATGGTGTTTGTTAGGCTGTGGCAAAAGGCTGGTTTCTGAACACACTTTTTATAGTAGGGACACCAAGCATTAGCTCTGAACAAAGGAAGTTTTATGATCTTTCCCTGCGTGGGTCAGTCAACAGAGACCCTAAGGAGGGGAGTGAGTTTTAACGTCAGTGGGTAACTAGGCAGCTATCATGAAACATGTTTTAGAGGAGATTACAGCGAAAGTCACTAATTACAAAAAAAACAGATGCCGCCGGGCGGTGGTGGCGCACGCCTTTAATCCCAGCACTCGGGAGGCAGAGGCAGGCGGATCTCTGTGAGTTCGAGCCCAGCCTGGTCTACAAGAGCTAGTTCCAGGACAGGCTCCAAAACCACAGAGAAACCCTGTCTCGAAAAAAAAAAAAACAAAAAAAAAACAGATGCCTTTAGCAATTAGTCATAAAGGGACTGCCAGTAATACTAGAAGGTTGATAAATCAGAATGATTGGTTCTTAGGCTGGGAACTTAGAAGATAGCATGAAGTTCTTCACACTATCTCAAGGTAAAGCTCAGATACCGACTGCCATACTTTACAACCTCCATTATCAGAGCTCATTAGTCAAATCCATGTTTTTACCTTGTCCATTGTCTCTCCTGGTACCTCCAGGCAGTGTGTACTGAAGCCCCATGTCTCTCCTTTGGTGGTGCCAGTTTCCCATAGCAGAGACAGTGCCTAACACAGAGGTCAGTATCTCGGTCTCCTAAAGGTTAACTCAGTTCACATCCGTTGTTTATCAAGGATGGCCAGGACACCACTCTCAATTTGCAGGGAGAAGCTCCGGCCTTGTAAATAGAATGACCTAGGCTGATGGAGGCTTCCCAAGCATCTGAGAAAATAGCTCACTGTGAATGATTGATCCTTGATCTGCTGAGAAAGCTGCCGACAGTCTGTTCTCATTCTCCTAGACTTAGAACTTTATATATCTCTATTTCTACATTCTTGTTTTTGGAATCTACATTTTTATTTTCTTATTCTTGGACTCTTCACTGTGGAACTGGGGTTGTGGTTGGATGTGAGCCACCATGTGGGTGCTAGGAGTTGAATCCAGATTCCTCTGCAAGAGCGACAAGTGCCTTTAACCACTGAACCATCTCTCCAGCCCCAGGACCAATGTTTTAGCAGTAGAAAGTTATTCCAAACCTGTCACATGACCTGTGCAAGGCCTTGTCTTTGATCCTCACTCCAGAATTAAAAAAATAAATAAATAAAAGAATTCCTCTGGAATGATGGCACTGAGCCCTCTGCCGGACATGTCTTCATTCAGTTTAGCTAACCCACCGGTTATGGGAAACGGGTGCTGGGATTCAGTGGTGTGGATTCATTTGCTTAAAGTTGTATAGCTATAGTGGTTCTAGGTGGTCAGGAAGAGAACCCAATCTCAGGATGGGCTGCCCAATTTCCATCAAGATCCAAAGGTTTGGGGCATTTCCCTAAAGAAAGTGCAAATGGCTCCAGGGGTGTAAGGGTGGTAGGGTGTGGGATGGAAGGCTGTTATCGAAGCCTTGACCCTGTGAACCTTATAAAGTCAGAAAACAGGGAGTGGGCATGGGGTCATGGGTGGGAGGTGGGCGCTACCCATCCAGGTGTGAAGTTGGGACCTGGACTGGCTTCAGCCAGGGAGGCAGAAGTGTAATCTTCCCTACCTGAGCTGAGTCTGTTAAATCCAGATATTTGTAATAAAATTTGAGTGCTCAGAGTATGGTCCTCTATTTATTGGTCCTTTTGTGAGCTCAGTTGCCATCGGTCAACTACGGCCCCAGAATATTAAGTGGAAATTCCAGAAGTAAACAAATACATGTTTTAAGTTGTGCCATTCTGAGTAACCTTATGTAATCCCTTCCTGTCCCGCCCAGGCTACCTGTGCTATTGCACAGAGCTGTTAGTCACCTGGTTGTCAGTGTTTGTGATCACCAAGCCTGGCCCCAACAAGAGCAGCAAGAGCAGGCAGTGATCAGGAGCAGACAGTGATCGGGAGCAGGCAGTGATGGGAACAGGCAGTGGTGGGGAGCAGGCAGTGATGGGGAGCAGACAGTGGTGGGAGCAGTGATGGGAGCAGGCAGTGATCAGGAGCAGGCAGTGATGGGGAACAGGCAGTGGTGGGGAGCAGGCAGTGATGGGGAGCAGACAGTGGTGGGAGCAGTGATGGGAGCAGGCAGTGATGGGAACAGGCAGTGATGGAGAGCAGCAGTGATGGGAGCAGGCGGTGATCAGGGAGCAGGCAGTGATCAGGAGCAGGCGATGATCAGGAGCAGGCAGTGATGGAGAGCAGTAGTGGTGGGGAGCAGGTAGTGATCAGGAACAGGCAGTGATGGGGAGCAGGCAGTGATCGGGAGCAGGCACCAGAGCAGAATCACTGGGAATGTGGCTGTATTGCAGGACATCAGAAGCGGCGGTGTGCCAGGGCAGGGCCTTGTACTCTGTGGTCTCAGGTCTCTGACTGAAGGGCCTGGAAAACCCCAGCACACTTGAAGAACTGCCATACTACAGAACCAGTGTGGTGACCAGCAAGGGCAGTCTCAAGGTCCACTTGAGTCAGAGTTGGGTACCTGTTTTCAGGTGGCAGGGAAAGAGGAAGTGGGGGGAGGGGTGTCTCAGGTAGAAGGTCAGGCAGGGCGGTCTCTGACCTTTATTGACATTCTTCAATCTTCAGAATTCTTTCTTATTCTATCTTCTCCCTTCTGTTTTGTGAGCTTTGGTAACCTGAGAACACTTCCGAAGACTGCTGCATGACCCGAGGGCAGATCTTTTGAGCCCTGGGACAGGGAAGGACTTTTTTTTTTTTAAATTAGATTCTGTTTCCTTTATAGTGTGAAGGACCAGACCCGGGAAGAAAGGGAAGAAATGGAAGAAATTCACACTGACTAGGGAGAGAGAGAGAGAGAGACAGAGACACACACACACACAGAGAGAGAGAGAGAGAGAGAGAGAGAGAGAGAGAGAGAGAGAGGAGAAAAGGGGGGGGATAGAGCAAGCTCTAAAGAGTCCCTCCCCTCCCCCCCTCCTGCACTGGCTGGGCTCTGCCTTAGACCTTATCAGATGAGGTGGGTTTGATGTCATTAGCATTCTCACTTTCTAGGGAGAAAAACAAACACTTGGGTAGAAAAACTAATGGGCGCAGACCTCAGCTGAGTAGAAGCCTGGAAGCTAACCATCAATTCCCAAGCTTTCAATCTCTGGGCCAGACTTACTTCTCTTGAGAAAGAACAGAACTTGGTAGAATGTTTGTGCCCCTTCTGTTGTACCACACAGCAACACCACTAACCCGAACAGTGGCTTCCAGTTACCCTGCCAGTATTCTCAGAAGTTCAGAAGCTTCTCCTGCCAGGTGGAAATCCTAGAGGGTGACAAAAATTACCACGTAGTGTCGCTGTGCGTTTCAAACAGTGTCGGAAGCAAGTCCAGCAGCAACGTGGCTTTTCACAGTTTAAAAATCGGTAAGCAAGGGGCTGGAGAGATGGCTCAGAGGTTAAGAGCAGTGCCTGCTCTTCCAAAGGTCCTGAGTTCAATTCCCAGCAACCACATGGTGGCTCACAACCATCTGTAATGAGGTCTGGTGCCCTCTTCTGGCCAGCAGGCATACACACAGACACAATATTGTATACATAATAAATAAATATTAAAAAAAAAAAAAAAAAAAAAAAAAAAAGAGAAAAAAAAAAAATCGGTAAGCAAGTCCCATCCCCGCAGCTGCTTCTGTCTACCTCTGGGAGAGGCAGGGGAGGTGTGCAGAGGGGCTCGGGAACTGGATTTTTAACTGCTGACAAACGGATGGGGTCTTCTCAAGATGAACATAGGAGTGATCCATTGATGAGTTCTTGCCTTACTGAGTGCAAGCCTCTAGGGTCCATTTAAATAGATACAATTTAAACATTTCTGGGGAGTGGTGTATGCTGTCTGCCTGGGGGGGGGGGGGGGCGTGTCTGCAGAGCCTTTGAGGGTTTCTTCTGTATCATGCTTGCTGCTGCTTAGAAGCCCTGTTACCACTCCACAGTGCGGCCTGACCCCCCTGTGAATCTTGTGGTGTCTGCCATACCTGGAAGGCCTCGCTGGCTCAACGTCAGCTGGCAAGACCCTGAGTCCTGGGACTCACACTACTACAAGTTGAAGTTTGAGCTTCGATACCGACCTGTGTTGTTGAAGACGTTCACGGCGTGGCTGGTAATTCATTCTCTTCTTCTGGAGACGAGTTTTACCCTGTAGTAGCCTTGAACTCATGACAGTGCTCCCCCGCCTTAACCTCCTAAGTGCTGCAATTTCTAAAGTGCCCAGAGCAAAACTGTTTCTAAACAGAAAAATGCCCCCTAGATCCTTGGGGAAGTAGGACGCTAGAAAAGAAATGGGTTCTGGGTCTAACTTTGTACCTTTCTATTCTTCATAGTCTTGGCTGTGTCCTTATAAAATGAGGCTAATAATGCCAGACCAGACCCTGACCTGTCTGCTCTTGAGGACTGTACAGGCTCTATGTAAAGCCAGACTGCAGAACCCACAGTGACTTCAGACTGTGGCTGAGAACAGTTCCATGTCACTGGGCCTCCCGGGTGGTGTGAGCCTGTTTGCCAAGTGGAGCATAGGGTGGTCAAGGGTGCTCTCTCCCTATAGCGCTGCCCCACCAGGTCGCTGGGACTCACCGTGTGGCTGTGTTCTGCTCCAGGAGGCCCAGCACCAGTGCATCATCCGTGATGCCTTGCGAGGAGTGAAGCACGTGGTGCAGCTCCGTGGGAAGGAGGACCTTGGGATCGGCCAGTGGAGCGAGTGGTCCGCGGAGGTCACCGGCACTCCTTGGATAGGTACCTGGGGCTGTGTGGAGGGAGCTTGGCGCGCGTCTCAGGGCCCAAGTTTAATATGGCAAGCCGTGCTGAATCAGCCTCCCCACCCCTTCATTTCATTTCGTTGAGAAAGTGCTTCATTTAGTCCTGGCAGTCCTAGAACTTACAATATGGTCAAGAAAACCCTGAATTTCTGATTCTCCAGCCTCCATCTCCCAAGCCCTGGGTGCCGCAGTCCCAAGTCTGCCAGCTTGTCTGCACCTCCAGCTAATGCAGCTGCTCTCAAGTCTGGAGGGTCAGGGTCTAGCAGCACTCGTGTGTTGGGGGCGCTCATCCGAGTCCAGGCCCTTTTCTCCTTGTGCTCCCTCCTGCCTAGTAGGTGCGCCTCAGTTGACGGCAGAAGGATGGGAGGATCTCCAAATAATTATAGGCGTGATGCTATTTATCTTTAGGAAATGACAAGGTGATGCTTTGGGGGAATTATTAAAAGCTCCCAAAACGTGTATGTGAGTCCCCAGTCCCTGCTATGACAAAAGTCTGAACAAATCAGCTTAAGGGAAAAAGAATTCTTTTGATTCAGGGTTTCAGAGGACAGGGCCCCGTTGGCTGGTTCCATTGCTTTGGGTCTGAGGTGGGACAGAACACAGTGGCAGAGAAGGTGGGATAGACCCGAGCTGCGGACCCCTGGGCACAGAAGCAGGAAGCAAGAGTAACCGAGTAGGATAGGATGTCCCCTTCAAGGGGGTACCCAGAATTGCTTTCTCCAATTAGTTCCCACCTCCCAGTAATATCACATTATGATTCCAAGTCAGGCGTGTTGGTGCATGCACACCTTCAATCCCAATACTCGGAGGTAGAGGCAGGCGGATCTCTGAGTTTGAGGCCAGCCTGGTCTACAGAGGGAGTTCCAGGACAGCCAGAGCTGCATAGTGAGGCCCTGTCTGGAAAAACAACAGTAATAATTTGAAGAGGTTAAGTCAGAGGCAGAGCCTCAGCCATGCGTTCTGCACTGTATTAAGACAAGCCCGTGGCAGGTGAGTGTCAGCTGCGCTTCCTAGCCAGACCTAACTCTAGGAGCATGCGAGGGAGACAGTCACTGCCAGCAGTTTGTTGCTTCAGGACTCAATAGGTAACCCAAACTGGGTTCAAATTCAGACTCAGCCTCCCTCTTTGAGAGGTTACAGGCAAGTGCTACCACTCCCATCTCCTGAGATTTTTATCAATTAGTACATGCCCGTGGGAAAGAGTTCAAAAGACTCATGATTCTGCCTGTCAGCTGGTACCCGCTTTCCTGAACCTACTTCTATGATGACACTCCAGAACGAGAGAGAGAGAGAGAGAGAGAGAGAGAGAGAGAGATATCACCCTACTTCTTTGATGACACTTCCCAGAAATTGCATGGTTCACCGTCCCTTGCAGCAGGGCATCTTGTTGTCCTCAGCATTTGCTCTAGAAAGGATCTGGGCTCATTTTGGGGGGTACGTTACATCTCCCCAATCCTTTAGCATACTTGAACCTAACTAGTCATGCTTACATTTTAGCCAGAAAACCTTTATCTTCAATGTCACTGATTAGCAATTTCCCAGCCAAGGCTCCCACCCTCCTACCATGGTCAACAATACTCCCTACCCCCACCCCACCTTTCTTGTTTGTTTGTTTTGGGTTTTGTTTTGTTTTTCTAGACAGGGTTTCTCTCTGTAGCTTTGGAGCACTCCTGAACTCACTCTGTGTGGACCAGGCTGGCCTTGAACTCACAGAGATCCTGAGTGCTGGGATTAAGGGTGTACACCTTCACCACTGGGCCCTGACATGTGGGCACAATGTCGTCCTAGTCACTTTGTGAGGGGTGTAGCTTATGGCGCTGTGCAAAGGCATTCCCGTAAAGACCAACAGTCGTTTTGCCTTCTGTCTCAACAACTTCGTTTGAGACAGTTTCATGACCCAGGTTAATCTTGAACTCACTTTGTAGCTCAGGATGATGTTGAACTTCTTGTTTCTATGTCCGAAGTGCTGGGATGACAGGTGTATCTCACCACACCTGGTTCATATGGTGCTGAACATAGGGCCTCGTGTATGTTAGACAAGGACACTACAGATTATGCTACACTCCCTGCCCCAGTCATGAGCTTTAGATAGTCATAAGCAGCTTTAAGAATTCTTGTTTGAGGGCTGGAAAGATGGCTCAGGCGTTAAAGGCTAAGCTCTCAACCAAAAATACAAGAATTCCTGTTTGGGCCGTGTGTGTTGATGCACGCCTTTAATCCCAGCATTTGGGAGGTGGAGGGAGGTGAATCTCTGAGTTCCAAGCCAGCCTGGTCTACAGAGTGAGTTCCAGGACAGCCAGGGCTACACAGAGAAACCTGTCTGGGAGAAAAAAAAAAGACTTCCTGTTTGAGGACTAGAGAGGTTATTCAGTGGATTCCAGTTTACTTCCAACACCCACATCTGGTGACTAACAACCAACCTGTAACACCAGCACCCTCTTCTGGCTTCTGCACAGCATGGACACACACACATACACACATGCACACACACATACGTGCACACACACATACACGCACACACGCATACACACATGCACGCACACATACACACGCGCGCACACATGCATGCACATATATACACATGCATGCAAACACAGGCACACACGGTTTTTAAGAACCTTGACCCCTGTTGTTTTCTTTGCTGTGCTAGGAGGCCCAGGGCTTTGATTTACCACTGATTTACATCCCTGGGCTCAGTCCACAAACAGCTTCTTCAAAAAAAAAAATTTGGCTAGGTGTGGTGGAGGCAGGGGCATTCTGTGAGTTCGAGGCCAGCCTGATCTACGTAGTGAGATCCTGTTTCATAACAGCTACAACAAAAGTCCACAGCATTTTCTTGATGGTGGCACAAGGTGCACGGCATAAAATTTACTTTGAAAGCTCTTGCAGGAGATTTTTGAGGTAGGGCCTCGTGTGTTCCAGGCTGTCCTGAACTCTAGCTCCGAGTACTGGGATTACAGGCACACGCCCCCACCCCTTGTTGTTATAACTCTGTGTGTATGTGTGTTTGGAGGCCACAGGTCAGTCTGCTGTGTTCTTCCTCATGTACTGTGCCCCGCCATTTTTTGCTATAAGTTTTCTTGTTGGTCCCCATGCTTGCTGAGTGGGTTATGCTGGCAGAGCAGAGAGCCCCTGCGGATGTTCCTGCCCCCATCCCCTTACCCCCAAGGCACGCCCCCACACCTGTTTTTTTTTTTTTCTTTTTGGCTTTTTGAGACAGGGCTTCTCCGTAGCTTTGGAGCCTGTCCTGAAACTGGCTCTTGTCGACCAGGCTGGCTGTGAACTCACAAAGATCCGCCTGCCTCTGCCTCCTGGGTACTGGGATTAAAGGTGTGCGCCACCACTGCCTGGCTCGTTTTGGTTTTCTCTAACAGGGGTTCTGGGGGATTGAACTCAGGTCCTCGGGCTTGCAAGGCCAGCCCTGATCTTACCTGTTTTTCAGCGGCGTTAAATACATTCATAAGGCTGCCCACCCGTCTCCACCACCCACCCCCAGACCCCACTTCCCACTCCCCTCCCTCTTCCCTAGCTGCTAGCAATGTGCATTCTACTTTCTGTTTCCGAATTTGACTATTTTAAACACTTAAGTAAGTGGGATTGTAGGAAACCTTTTGTGTCTGACTTATCTCACTCAGTGCTGTGCCTTCAAAGTCCGCTCAAGCCGTGGGTCAGCCTTTCCTTCCTGGTAGAGACTGGGGAGCCAGCGTCTTGTTTCTCTGAATTTGGCAGTGGACGCGTGGTGTGTGATTTATCTGCCGTGAACAGTCTGCTGGAGTTTAGTTCTTCTGTGTATGTGCCTAGATGTGGGATTCCTCACTGTGTCCACAGCAACTCTGTTTGCAGCGTTTAAGGAATGCCACACTGCTTTCCATAGTGGCTGCTCCACTTTAGGTTACTTGAGAGTTCACAACAGTTCCCCCACTCTCTTTGAGACAGGGTGTGACTCTTTCTGACTAAGAATGCATGATGTAGACCAGGCTGGCCTCAAACTCATAGAGCTCCACTTACCTCTGCCTCCCATGTGCTGGGATTAAAAACCTTCCATTTTCTCTTCAGCTTATTGACACTAGTGTTCTGCCTATGTAAATCTCTCTCTCTCTCTCTCTCTCTCTCTCTCTCTCTCTCTCGTGTGTGTGTGTGTGTGTGTGTGTGAGTGTGTGTGAGTGTGTGTGTGTGAGTGTGTGTGAGTGTGCGCACGTGCACGCGCATTTCCTAGTCTGGCCTCTGTCTTCTTGTCTCAGCCTCTCTAGTAGCTAGGGCTTAGTGCTACAGGTACCTAGTATACCTAGTGCCCATTTTTCTCTAGTCGTTGCCGTTTCTGATTTATTTTGTTGAGGCGGAGACTACAAGCACGTACCACCACACCCCACTATTATCGCTTTTAGAGAAATGTCTGTTCAGGCAGAAAGGCCTTTCTTACGTGAGCCCAGCACTGGCCTGGTTGACCTCACTCTGCCCTTGGGAGTAACCGCAGGAAGCCGCCCTCTCTGAACTCTCCTCTCTGAACTCTCCTGGGGTTCCTAGAAAACCTGTATCTGCTTGGGCTGCTCCCACTCAGGGCTGATGGCTGCCTGGGAGGGTTTGTGGGTTCCTCGCCTGTTTAGCCTTAAATCCCTGGTGGAAGGTGGTGTCCAGTGATATGTCGGGGGTGGAGACCACCTGGCCAGCTCTGGGTCTTGGACTTTCCAGCTTTGGGCTCCAGCACAGGTGACCCCCTGAGCTTGTTCAGAGCCCACACCTCCTCACTCAAACCAGAGACTGAGCTCCCGTCCTGGGCGGGAGTGGGGAGCCACTCTGGCCTGGCAGTATGTTTAAGAGAGAAGCCTCTACCATCCTGCTCTGGGGGTACAGCGGAGGGGCTCGGGTGCTTCTCAGGCCAGAGGGGTTATTGGTTCTGTAAAATGAGACAGAGGCTGGAGCGGGAAGTGAGGCCCGCCCACGATGCAATGGCTCCTTGGCAGTTGAGCGGCACTGAAGCCTTAGGAGCTTCCTGTCACAGTCCCCAAGAGGGAAACCACACAGGCCAGAGGGTTGTACTTCAGCACACATGGTGAGGGGCAGTTCTTAGGCTATAAGCCCACTGCCTCAGTTTCCCTGCATTAGGAAACAAAAATTGACCCCAAATGGAGAAGGGGAGTCTAAATCACACTGCCCCCATTTGTAAAGGTTCTAAAAGCCCACTTTGGATCTTGAGATGTAACTCAGATTGTCCCAGCACTGCTTTGGGGTGTGGGCACTGGCTGGGGACGCTCCTGTAATCCTACTGGGGAGGTTGGCGGCATGAGAAGCGAGGAAGATGTCTTGAAGCCCTGGGTGAAAGCCAGCGCACAGCCGGCTCTCACTGCCAATTTCCACTTCACTGGAGCCTCGAGGCGCTGGGAGGCAGGTGCTGGGTTTGGGTTTCTTAGGCAGGTGTCAGTACTCCTAAGTGACAAATAAGCTAACTGGGGCTGAGCTAGGTACTTCCCCAAAGTCGTACTAGCAAGGGACAGAGCCAGCGATCAGACTCAAACCGAGCACCTGCCTCCCAGAGCCTCGAGGCTCCAGTGATGTGAAAAGTGGCAGTGAGGGCCGGCTGGGCGCTGCTTTCACCCAGGGCTCCAAGACATCTTTTTCACTTCTGTTTTCTGTTTTTTGAGACAGTTTCTCTGCAGCTTTGAAGCCTGTCCTGGAACTAGCTCTTGTAGACCAGGCTGGCCTCGAACTCACAGAGATCCGCCTGCCTCTGCCACCACTGTGCGGGGATTAAAGGTGCTCGCCACCAGTGCCCGGCATCTTCCTCTCTTCTCATGCCACCAACCTCCCCAGTGCTAGGATTACAGGAGCGTGCCCAGCCAGGGCCACCCCAAGCAGTGCTGAGGGCCAATCTGAGTTACATCTCGAGATCCAAAGTGGGCATTTAAAACCTTTAAAAAATGTTCGTTATTGGAGCCAAACAGCCTTGGTTTAAATGCCTCTTTGGGAGCTGAGGGGATGCTTGCTGGGAGAGACAAGGGGACTGTTGGGGCTGCTGGCTGTCAGTCTAGCCCCGATTTCAGTGAAGGACGCTGTCTCCAGGGAAGCAGACAGTGGCAGAGCAGGGAAGGGAGGGAGTAGGAGGTGAGAAAACAGGATGTTTGATGTCTTCTGGCCTTCACACACTTGCATGGGCACACACACACACAGGAACACATACAAAAATTACAGCTTTGCCACTTTCTACTAACTTTGAGAAAGTTATTTTCCTTTTTCTTGCCTCAGTTTCCCCATCCTAAATTTTTTTAAAAAATGTTTTTCCCTCCAGTATAGGATGTGTATGTGAGAGCAGGCATGTTTGCCACGCACACATGTAGAGGTCAGAGGACAGCTTCCAGGAATTTATCCCCCTCTGCCCTCTCCAGCTCTGTAGATGGAACTCAGGTCTTCTGGCTTGTATTACTAGTGCTTTTACTGAGCGGTCACTCCATACTATTTTTTAAGTTTTATTTTATGTGTATGAGTGTTTTGCCTTCATGTATGTATGTGCACCATATGGGTGCCTGGTGCCCAGGGAGGTCAGAAAAACACACTGGATTCCCTGGAACTAGATTTACAGCTGATTTGAGGCTGCTCTGTGGGTACTGGGAACTGAAGCCAGGTTCTCTGCAAGGACAGCAAGGGCTCTTAACTGCTGAGCCATCTCTCCAGCCCACCCCATCTTTAAATACCCCGGCCAGGTGTGATGGCCACATCTGTAATTAAGCACCTGAGAGGCTGAAACAGGAGGATTGCTCTAAGTTCCAGGCCAGCCTCGGCTTCAGAATAAGACCCTGTCTCAAAGATACAAACAATGACAAAACACAGGCATGGTGTCCTTCTCTGCAATCCCAGAGGCGGAGCAGGAGGAGCAATCCAAGCTTGCAGTCGGCCTAAGTTATATCGTGGGTTCCAGGACAGTTGAACCAAAATGTGAGATTTTGTTTCAAAACCAAACAACAACAACAAACACCAGAGGAAATGGTGTGGTGGTTCATACCTACAACCCAGCATGCTAAAACATTAATTCAGGGTCAGAGGTCAGCCTGTCATCTAATATAAATTCCAAGCCATCATGGGCAACAGAGAGACCCCATCTCACAAAGCCAGTCCATCCATGCACACATGTACAGTCTCTGGTGGGATTCGATGAGATTAAAGGTGTGCCCCACCACCACCCAGCTGGGAGGTGCACACAGGTAGGAGATGCTGAGTCCTTGCCACAGTTTGGGGTTCGTTTTTGAGTTAGCTTGCTGTGTGAACTTAGACACATTGCTTTCCCTCTCTGGGCCCATTTCCTTTTTATACAATGAAGCCGGTGAGTGGGTTCTTTTTCAACACCTCCAGTGTTGCTGTGTGGTTTTCTCTCCTTGGAGACGGCATAGCCATTGAAATTTCTCTCCTGAGCAGAAACAGGCTCGCCCTGTTCTCCACCCCTTAGTGATTTGTTGATCTATTCCTGGGTTTGGGGTGCTTGATGTCTTATACTTGGTGATATTTTTAACTTCTTGGTGGAAAAAAAATGAGACGACAAGAAAATCTGAGTCATTTCACCATTTGCCTGCCGAGGGTCAGAGCCAGGTTCCTTGGGTCCCAGCTCAGCTTCGATTCTGGGCTTGCTCCTGGGTCAGCCATTTCTGTATAAAGCAGTTCCCAGGAGAGCACGACCTCTGCCACCCTGTTCCCACCCCTCTTTATCAGGGTGCCCTCCACCTGTCCCAGGCATGATCCTTAAGGAATTATCGTTAATAGTGCTTATATCTTGTGATATCATCCTTCTGGCCTGCCTTCCCTGCGTGTATATTGTAATATGCAATATATGATAATATAAACACGAGTTTTAGAAACTTTGGATCAAAGCATGTCTTCCTTCTACACAATACATCGTATCTTCAACATTTCTCTAAAATATACATTCTGAAGTTTTATTTTTAAATATTTATTCCACCTCTTCTCATTTTAACTTTTTCGTTTCTGTTTTATGTCTGGGGATGTTCTCCTGCACCTGTGGCTGTCCACCACACGTCTGCGGTGCCCACAGAAGCCAGAGCTGCAGGCGGGTTGGAGCTGACGTGGGTGCTGGGATCAAACCCGGGTCCCCTGGAGGAGCAGCTGTTGCTCTCAGCCTCTGTACTGCCTCTCCAGCCCGCTTGAAGTTTTAGTTTTTTGTTTTTAAGTCCTGGTTGGCCTGGGATGCTCTGTGTAGATTAGTCTGGCTTTGATTTTCCAAGGTCTGGGCTTAAAGGCATGTACCCTGAACTTCTGTTTTTAGTAGATACAGAGTATCTCAGGCACATTGTGGACAGTGTAATGCTTTGATACACAGTTACATTGTGTATCATAAAATCGATTTTTCTCCAGGCTACTCTCTCTTTTTTTTTAATTTTTTTTTAATATTTATTTATTATGTATACAATATTCTGTCTGTGTGTATGCCTGCAGGCCAGGAGAGGGCACCAGACCTCATTACAGATGGTTGTGAACCACCATATGGTTGCTGGGAATTGAACTCAGGACCTTTGGAAGAGCAGGCAATGCTCTTAACCTCTGAGCCATCTCTCCAGCCCCAGGCTACTCTCTTAAATGACTATCAGGATAGACATAGCTGGTCCTCTAGTGTTGGATAATTCCTTATTCTCAGCATCCTGCTTTTTAAAGATAACATTGTTTCCCAGAGGTGGTGGCACAGGCCTTTGATCCCAGTACTAGAGAGGCAGAGGCAGGCGGATCTCTGTGAATTCCAGGATAGCTTGGTCTACAGGGCAAGTTCCAGGACAGCTGAGGCTATACAGAGAACCTTGCCTTGAAAACCTCAAAACCAACCAACCAAAAAAAAAAAAAAGATTCTATTGATTTTTTTCTTTTTCTTCTTTCTGTCTTTCCTTTCCTTTTCTTTTTTTTGAGACAGGGTCTTCTAGTACCAGCCTTGAACTTGAGACGCTCTTCCTCCTCAGGTTCAAGTGTTAGGATTCAGATGGGCTCTTTGTACTGCTCTGAGCTGACTGGATTCCCCGGTCCACGAGTCACCCCTAACACACCCCTTCTTTGTACCTGCAGAGCCCCCGAGCACTCCCACAGGGATCCTGAAGGACCCCACACAGGTGAGCTTGCCCCCACCCCCACCCCACAGGGCCAGGACTGCACTGCTCCAGGCCTGAATCTGGTTTCCTGCTGGCTGCATCTTCTAGAGTGTGACTGTGGGCCAGTTCCCTGTCCCTCGAAGCTGTAAGGCGCCATCTGCCTGGCTCTGGTGGCTACTGTTTCACCCTGAGCTGTTTGGACACGGCTGATGGCTTGGTCTGAGACCAGATTCAATTTATCCATGGCCTCCCCTGTGGCAGCCTGGTATCATGAAGTATTGGAAAGAGGATTACGTCTGAAGCCGCTTAACAAATCCCTTTACTAATCCAATTTCCCACCCAACTCTGTCTCCTCGCGTGGTCCTTAATTCCCTCAGTACTGAGCTGGGGCCTTTGTTCCTCTGCCCCCCAAGCACAGAGAAGGAGGCAGAGGTCTGGGCCTTGCATGCTGGCTTCAGTCTTCAGGAGGCTGTCCTTGAGGGGCTTTACGGGCAAAAGCAGCTGAGTTCTTGCTTCTTGGGCCAGAGAGTTCCAGGCGGGTCCTAGGGAACTGACAGTAGCTGAGGACTGGCCACCTTCTCCACTGTGTGGGTAAAGTCTCAAAATTGGATCCAGAAGCAGAACTCAAGCCTATCTGAACTCAGGGATTGGCCCATCATGTAGCTAGCTAGCGAGCAGTGGAGTTGGGATGCTGGGACAAGCTTTTCCCAGGATGCTACCACTGCACCTGGCAACAGACGCGTGGACAACTGCTTTGTTTACTGACCATGTCCTCTGTGCCTTTGGCAGAGCGTGGGCACCTGGGAAGGGGAAGGGAACACACAAACAATGCCAGCGACAGGTAGATGGTTGACAAAGATCGGCTCGGAGAGGCTCAGGAGACAGGTGGTGGCTTTGCAGAAGTGTGTATGGATGTTGAACAGCTAGTGATGGTCATTTCATGTCTCCTAGGTCTCTGATGAAGACTCTGACGACGAGGAGTATTTGTACAGCCAGCCTGTAAAAGCGACAAGCTTCCCGGGTAAGCACTAGTGTCTCGGTATTCCTCCAGCCTGCAGAAGAGCGTGCTCGGACACTGAGCAAAGGCAGCAACAGCCTTCCATTATTTTACTCGATGCAGCATTTAGGGCTGAACCCAGGGCCTTGAGATGCTACATATGCAGAGCAGCATAGCCAGTGAGCTACAGCACAGCTCATCTCCCATTACTTGTATGCTCGTTTGATCTTGTCTGCTAAGAAGCAGTGAGGCCTGTGAAAAGAGTGGCCAGGTCAGGAAGCCAACTCCAGTCTGGCTGAGCATGGACGTCATTGCTAGAGACTGCAATGGAGGATCCATGGAGGAAGCCTGCTTAGGGAGCTGCTGGCCCAGCCAAGGGTGTGGGCAGCAAAGGGGCTCAGCAAAGGGAGACAACATGCTGGACAGGAAGGGAGGTCAGGGAGCCCTGCAGGAGAAGGGACATGGCATGTCTGGAGCTTGAATGCCATGTTGGGGATAGGGAAGCGATGACACCGCAGTGGAGAAGTGGCTCCAAGGTACTTGTTGGATGTCCTCACACCTCGCTCACCCAGTCCTAGTGGATCTACCACATCTCTCGAGTGCCCTCTGCCTGATAAAGGACACAGGAAAGTTACTCTGAGAAAATGGCCAGAGAGTTGGCTGCCGGCTGGGAATTAGCCCTGTCTCAGCCTGTGAGTGGTTATTACGCTAGGCACTTGCGCACTGCTCCAGGAGCCTGGCCTTGGCCCGCAAGCTGGCAGTTTTGCTGCCTTCCAGAGCAGCATCTGCTTCTGTACTTGCTGACTGACTTTATTTTGTCTCCTCCCTTCTCTCCTTACCTCCCTCCTTCTCTTTTCTCTACCCCACTCCCCATAGTCTCAGGGCAAGATTCTTCCTCAATATCGCTGCCCACATTCCTGGTGGCTGGAGGAAGCCTGGTGTTTGGGTTGCTCCTCTGTGTCTTCATCATCCTGAGGTGAGATGGGTCCTGGGGCTGTGGCCTGCACTCCGTGTCTTAGCTCTCATCTGCCCTGTGTAGTCAGAACCTCACTCGTTTCTTTATTCAGCAAATGAGCGCACACCACACCCCCCACATACACCATGCATGCACACACACACACACACAAACCACACATGTGAACATACACGCGTGCGCGCGCGCGCGCGCGCGCGCACACACACACACACACACACACAGCTACTCTGAGCCCTGGGTCGGATACTGCAGGAGGCAGGGGATAGGCTAGGTACTGTCTAGTGAGGAAGCCAGTCCCTGACAGGGAAGGGCTGACGTGGCCATGGTAGGGAGGAAGAGGAGGACTTTTGGCAGAAAGTTCTCTCTACACGCTAGCTCCCGAGGTCCTCACAGTGGCCCTGAGCCGGCTTGACTGACAGCTAACACAGTGAAGTCAGGCTGGTCTTGTTCTTATCCTTCCCTCCTCTCCTGTTTTTAGTGTTGGTTCAAATCCAAGGCTAGGCAGGGCGCTGGCACTGAGCTGTGTGCCTGGTCTCTAACAGCGACTTCCAGGGAAGTAGGGATCAGACTGTCCAGTGACTGCGCAGAAGACAAGGGTCTAACCCGGCTGGAGTCAAACAGGAGTGTGTCAACACTTGGGGACTGCATACTTTCTCCAACAAGGCCTCACCTCTCAATCCTTTCAAAGAGTGCTACTCTCTGGTGACTGAGCATTCAAATATATGAGTCTGAGGGGGGGGGGTGTTTTTATTCAAACCACCAGTCATTTTTAGGGTATTTCCTCCGAGAGTGAATTCCTGGGTCAGAGGGGCTGAGTACTTGGCAGCGCATGGGGCAGCAGCGGTGTGTCCTCCTCTCACAGGGAGAGTTCCCTCAGTGGCCGGCTGGGCTCTCTCCCTGCTTCCATGCAACAGTCTGCAGATTGTTTATGCCGTTTAGCTAACAGGCCAAGCGCCAACGGCGGATTCAGAGCCAGCTGTCAATCATCGATCATATCAAGAACAAGAATAGTCTGCTGGGACAGAAAGCCCAGGAAAATGCCCAGATCTTGTTTTTGGTGTTGGCTTCCGCTCCTCCCTCACCACCCTTCCTTGGGTAATGAAATTGAGGGGGGGCTCAGCCATGGAGAAGGAGGTCAAAGGGAGAAGAGGAGGCCCTGGTCTAGCACACCTAGCAAAGGACCCTTGGGAAGGAGCCCCCCCACCCCCACCTTCGCAGATCGGATCGGTATCTGCAGCTCAGCTTTCTTCAGGCCGTCAGCTGACTTTCCTTGGTTGCTGAGTCTGGCCTCGGGCCCAGCCAGCACGCTGAGGAGCTGTGATCTGAGCGATGCCTATCTCCTTCCTGCCCACCTTCAGCTTTCCTGTCAGATGAATCAACACGTGCCCAGTGGGGCCTTTCTCAGAGCAGGGCGGCTCTCCCTCCTAGGGGTGGGGTGGGTGGAGGTGGATGGAGACCTGACTGCACGGGACGGGGGAGGGTACAGGGACCACACAACCTGTTTCTGCCATCCATGGCAGGCTGTGACTGAGCTGCCCCCTGCCTGTCTTAGTTGGACTGAGTTCCATTTTCCCTCCCCACGGAAAGAATATTCTCCTTTTTGTGTGTGGATGGATGGGGAACTGCAGATGTGTGCCTCACATCTGGCACAGGGCTGATCACCAGCCGTCAGGTGACATTTGGAGTGCGTAGAGGAACACACACGTCTTTCCTTTTGTAAATGGGGCCGATGAGATGCGGTCTTGTTAGGACACCTCTGGTGATGATAGGAGATCTGAGTTGTCAGCATTTTTGTAAGCTGAACCTGGGCACACCTAGCAACCAGGGCAGACAGCTGCTGCTGGTGTTTTTCTCTGTGACATTGACCTGAGAGGAAGCTCACGGCTGTGTGTTTGTTTTTGTGTGTTTGCATAAAGGCTCAAGAAGATGTGGAAGTCGCCGACTGTGCGGGAAAGCAAGACGAGTTCTCCCCCGCCATATTCCCTGGGACAGCTGAAGCCGGCCTTCATACTGGTTCCTCTCCTCACCTCAGCAGGGTCCCACAACAGCTCCAGGCCTGACAACACCTTAAACCACAGCTGTCCGGGTGTCAGAGACCCGTAGAGCCCTTACGACACCAGCAATAGGGACGGCTTATTCCACAGCTAGTTGTCTGGATGGGACCTACAGCTAGTGTCAAATCAGCACCGCCACTCCAGCTCACCTGGGCCGGCAGTGGCGGGTGGGGTGCAACTTTCCTTTCACACGAGAGCCTTGCAGAAGGTGCGGAGGGGTCAGGACTGTGTGCTGCACATGCTCCGAAGGCAGGGGTTGTGAGGGACACAGGCCACCGTGAGGACATAGCCTCCACACCCTCAGGATAGCCTCAGGTAGGGGTGCCAAAGGTTGCCCTAATTGCCTAGCTCTGACTCACTCCCCCAACCCACCTTTTAGCTGAGCTCTTGCAATCCAAGCACCTTTGGCCTTCTCTTTTCGTAGGCCGCTAAGGCTGGGGAAGAACTCATGCCCACTCTCCTCGATACCTGGAAAGTCGCTGGAAAAGCAGCTGGCGTCCCGCTTGTGACGAGTCTCTCAGGGCCTGATGGTTTAAGCAGAACAATATTAATCTCTTGTAAGACGTTTCAGATATGAATGATAATTCTAGGCACTGCTGACTGCAGAAGTTTTCTTTTCTTATTTGAACTCAGGACTTCAGGAGAAGAGAAGCAAGAAGGAAGGGGAAGGACAGGTCTCCACTGTGCCCGTTGTAGTCCAGGGACACAGCCTCTGAAAGCATGTTTTCTGTCCCCCCCCCCCCCCCCCCCCCGCTACTCCCCCAGGGGAGGGTGCTGTTAGTGAGTTCCTCTGCTAGGGCAGAGAGTATAGCTACTTTACTCATACTGGTTTCAACTGGACCTGAGCTACTGGGACAGACAACATTCATGAAAAAAGAAAAACTTAAGAATGCATTTCCATTTTACTTTTACAAAACTGTTGCCTGAACCGCATGGTGGCGCACACCTTTAATTCCAGCATTTGGGAGGCAGAGGCAGGTGGATGTTTCTGAGTTCAAGGCCAGCCTCTAACAGAGTGAGTACCAGGACAGCCAGAGCTACACAGAGAAACCTTGTCTTGGAAGACAAAACAAACAAATTAACAAACAAACAGGGAAGGAAAACTGTTGCCTGTTTCTCTTGATTCTGGAAGCGGCCACTCAGTGTGTGCTGGCGCATGAACCACCTAGGAGGTGGGAGATGATAGTGGGGTGGGGGATGGCAGGGTGATACAGTAACTTTGTTTAGCACAAAAGCCAAGTCAAGTGAAAATCAAGAAAAATGTTTCCTGTAACAGAGAAGACTTCGGTTTCATTCTGTGTCTTGTTTCTGTCTTAAAAAGTATACGAATAGTCTGTGCTTGGCTTCAGGGAATGAATGCGGGCCAGGCTTAGGAAAGAAGGGTATCCACTTCCTGGTACCTCTCTCTGCCACCATGGCCTTCCTCACTTCACATCCAGTCCCCAGTCCCTGCAGAAGCACTGGTCCCTCGTCACTTTCCCTTCACTGATGTTAGTGGTCACCCAGGAGACCGCAGAGTGGCGCTGGGATTAAAGTGAGCATCGCAATGGTTTACCAGATCCCAACACTTTGCTAGTAGCTTACCTTTTCAGAAAATGCCACCCCAGGGGACAGGAGGTGGAGCCCGGAGGCCACGCTAGTACTATCTGCTCCACAGATCCTGGTGCCCCTGCCCTGGGCTTTGTGTGTTTCAGGGCCTGTTGCTGTCATAGAAAAGGGTTTGTAAGTTGACAAAAAGCAGGCAGGTATTCATGTTTTTTCCCCCTTTGTTAAGTTTCTGGGACTCAAGAGTCGCAAACATGCTGTGATAGGGAGTGAGGGAGTGTTAGAAAAAGCGATCTGCAGGGAGCAGGCGGCTGAGCCCACGCAAGGCTTAGTTCTTCACCTGGCTGTACCCGCATGCCGGTACCAAAGGCAGGCAGAACAAGCTGGTGGAAGATTGAAATCCAGATAACTCATTATCTCCGAAAGCTAAGTAGCTTTCATCCCCAAGTTGTTATTGCTTTCACTATTATTATAAAAGGCTAGCCCTCCCCCCTTTTTCCTTTTGACTTTTAATAAGCTAATGCCAATGAAGTCTGTTTCATCTGAGCCCCAGCTTCGCTCAAAGACACAGGTCTAGGCCCTCAGCTGCTTCTGGCCTCCAATCTGTGTCACTGGAGTTTCTGCAGCCCACAGGCCGCCTGTCAACGGTCACTTGACACCTGCAGTCAGGGATTCGGCAGGCAGATGTGGCAGCTTTAGACAGGGTTTAAACACGACCTTCGCTGCACGGTGGGAAGAGTAGAACACGAACCGGCTCAAGTTTTAAACTGAGCTTTGATTCTTAAGGCATTAGTAAAACAGCTTTATAATATTTCAAGGGAGTAGCAGGGGCTGTGCACCGAGACGTTTGGAGACCGAATACTTTCTCTCTGTGAGTGTGGTCTCTGCAGTTTCTCACCTGGCTGTACGCTCACACTGAGTCTTTGCCGTGTCCATGATGTCTTGGGAGAAGGAAACTGGTGTGAAGTTCACGGCTGGAGTTAGGCTGGAGCCAGTGGGGCACAGAGCCCAGCAGGTAGGCCAGCTGTGGCTGTGCTCTGCAGGTTTAAGGATCCCTGGCTTGCCTCCTTTTTCTCCCTAGCAGCTAGTTATGCCTAACCTAGTTGGAGAGGATTTTCACACTCAGCTGCAGGTGGAGGTGCTGAGAAACCTATCTTCAGGGTTACAGGGTTACAGGGTCACCTTTCCCATGCTGCAGCCTATGGTGAGGCTGTGGCTGGAAGTGGCAGTCCAGCTGGCTCAGGTCCTGGTACTGGTGCTGGGGAGGTTCTGTCAAAGGTCTTTCCAGCCTCTAGTCCTCGCGAGGTTGGGTACCAGTTCCAGGAGTTTCTATGGCAACCTCGATGCTTATTAAGAAAAATTGTCATTTTTGTGAATGTATGCTCAGATGGAGATCTAGTTTGCAGGGGAAGGACTGGGACTGTGGAGCAAGCTGGAATGACAGAGATTTTTTTGGCTAGAGATCATATCCGTTAAGCAAAATACCTCAATGCTACATGTTTTGTTTCGAGACAATGTTTTTAACCAGCAAGTTGATACCTAAGCTCTTTCTGCAAAGTAGTGTAATATGTTTTTTCAGTGCTTTTTTTTGGATGGGGGGAACCACTGTTTTTTAAAAGTGAAAATTGTAACTGAAATAAATACTTTTTCAAACTGCACTTGATGTATCTTGCTTTGGGAATCTTTTCATTGAAAGGAAAACCTCGTGTGATTAACGGGAGTACAGAGTGCAGAAGGTTAAATGATTAAGTATAATTAAGTAGGAGTATCCGAGGGGCTTTTGGGCTCACTCCTAAAATCCCGACACTGAAAAGGAAGAGGTGTGACGATTTCTCCGAATTTGAGGCTAGTGAGACCCTGTTTCACTTACACACACACACACACACACACACACACACACACACACACAAGCAAACAAAAAACCAGGACCAGAAACTAGCAATTTCTCAAAAGGCTTTAGTTAATAAGTTTCTCCCATACCACGCCCTGAAATTTCTGGAAGGAGGCTCATGTATCTGTGGCGTTCATAACACTCGCTGTTACTGGGTCGCGGGCCTGTTGAAAAAAGGAAGACCGTGACTTAGGCGTCCACTGGATCGTGGAGGTGACAATGGCATCCTGAGAGCCACCCTGAACTCGTGGTTATCAGATGACTGAGTCTGTTCCACACTGAGAAGGGTCTTGGACCAGGAAAACCTGGGCCCCAGTCATCCCAATGTTCTAAACGGAAGAAAAGACATAATGTGGACGCTTTGTAGGTGGAGGGAGAGGACACTCCAGGGAGAGGCCTCCACTCAGGCAATGCCAAATTGGGAGTCATTGCTCTGTCCCCCTCTGCAGCCCTCCTTCCCCTGAGCCTTGGTGGCCAGGTTACATGGGTGGGAGGGGAGAGACCAGGCCCCCCCAACCCTGTGCTCTCCAGATGACGCAGGGAGCAGATGGAGACCCCAAAGTCAGGTCTCCACAAGGAGCAGTTGCTGGAAGTCTCTGCTAAGAAACATTTTTTTTTTCCTTGAAGGCACAAGGAAGTAACATTTTCTATAGATCTACGGGAATTGCAGGCCCCACGCAGAAGTCATGCTTGGGGGGGGGGGGAAGCAGTGTGCTGTGTGAGGGCTTAGGTGGGATGGGGTGGAGCAGGGTGAAAATACAGAGCTGAAGAAAATGGTATCAGGAATGTGGCCCGGTTGGCAGAATTTAGTCCCAGCATGCCCAGGACCCCGGGTTTGACCCTTGGCGCTGCATACATTGGTAGAGGCGGCGCAAAACTGCACAGACACCTTAATGGGGGGTCAGTAAGGCCATGAAATGCTCACACCCCCAGTCTAGGAAATACTCTATCAAGATCAGTTTGAATATTCCCCTTGAGGGCGAATGTGTGTCTCAGAAAGCCGTGTGAACACTTCAGATGGCTCTCCTGGGGCAATGACGGGCTGCGGAGTGACGCGAGCACTGGCTGTCAAGACAAGCCTTTCCAGGTGTGGCTGGTTGGGGGATGCAGGCTCACCCCCTTGTAAGCATCCCTCCCTAAGACTCTTTAGGGAAATCCAATAAATTAACTGGTCCCCAGACTCCTGCATGCCTTGGTTTGGGTTTGTGGTGGAGACCTTGAGAGGAGGGGCAGACATTGCTTTACTCTCTGCCAAGGAAGGAATTTTGGCCACAGTAGTCAATAGCTAGGAAACACGCGTGGGCGCTGAAAAGGTCTATCATCGACCCTGTTGGTATCCAGAAGTCTACAGCTTTCGGCACAGCTGACCTATCATAATCCACTCAGGAGGCTGGAGGTGGAAAACCTTCTCAGCACACGCCCTGGCTTCCATTCCCAGCCTCGTAAAATATCCAGAAAGTTAGCTGATAATCATGGCTGCCCTGTATCAGCCTCAGCCTGGGGCTGCTTCCAGATCAACACTTCACACACTTCAAGGTGGGGCAGTTGAGGCTCATTTCAGGTTAAGAGTGGTCCAGGAGACCCAGGCTAGTGAGGAGGTCTAATAGGACCCCAAAGTCAGGTCTTCTCCACCCCAAGGCAGGTGCTACTTCCTCACCATGGGCTCAGGTCCCATAGGGTTGGTGTCTTTGATAGATAGGTCTTTTCTGAAGGCCATGTGCTCTCCCATTTTGCCACGGTCAAGGCCTGGACCACACACTCCAGCCAGTGTCCCTGGTTTCTCGGTTTGTCAAGATGAGGCCAACAGCCGAGCCTACTGGAAGTCTAGTCCCACGGGAAAGGCGTGGCCTAGGGTTGACCTTGAAGAGTCAGAACCAGAGAGAAGGGGCGGAAATCACTTCCTTAAACTTATTAAGGGTTGCCAGGGGCTTCCCTTTCAACTGGACTTGTCCTGGTGAGATTTGCTCCTTGCTAGCTGCCTATCTTGAACCCTCCGATTCTGCTCTGGATCACAGGGCCCCATCACAAGGCGGCACTGAAAGACCAGCAACCTAAGAGGCCAACCTGAACATCTGAGTTGAACTTTATACAAGCAGAAGACAGTTTGGGTTTGTTTGTTTTGTTTTTGAGTTTTTCGAGATAGGGTTTCTCTGTGTA